TGAAGGATTCTTTCTAGTATTTTCTGTAGAGCTGGCTTCGTGGTCATAAATTCCATTAGTCTACTTTTATCATGGAATGTTTTTCCCCCCTCAATTATGACAGTTTGCTGGGTAGAGTAGTCTAGGTTGGCAGTTATCTTTAAGAGCATTAGTAGACCAAGTTTCAGTTGAATAATCTGCTGTTATTCTCATGCTTCCTTTTCACTGTTTTCTTTGTTCTACATATTTTACATTTTAATTATACTACAGTGAGGGGTGATTCTTTTCTGGTCTTGTCCGCTTGGTGTCATAAATGCCTTCTGTATCTGGATTGGCATCTTTTAATTCTGGTCATTTCCATTATTACTTTTAGAATGTTTTGTATGTCTTTAGAATGAGATTTTTCTATTTCTATACCTACTGCCCACATATTTTGTCTTCTCAGGGTGTCATGTATATCTTAGAATTCCCATTCCTACCTTTCTTACGATTTTCTCTTGGTCCTTGTTTGATCCAGTTCCTCCACCTTGTCTTTGACCTCAGATATTCTGTCCTTTCCTACTGGCGAGACTTCACACAGGGCTTTATATTCGACTTTTTGTGCTTCTAATTTCCATCATTTTAGATTATTTTTTCTTCATATCGGTTGATTGCCTCTTTCCATGTCTTGTACTGTCTTCCTTATTTCACTCTGCTGTTTGTGCTTTCAATCAAGGACCTATTTTCCTCTTTGATTTCTTTGAACATACTTAACAATTGTCTTTTGCGCTCTCTGGGGTTTCATCTCACTCATTCTCACTGGATGCCATTACTGTAGGATTAATAATTTTTAGAGAAGTTATGTTATTTTGGTTTTTCGTGTTTCTTCTGTTATGGAATTATGCATCTGGGTTTATTTCGTTGCTTGGTTTTTCTTTAATCAGCCATATTCTTTCAGTTGAAGTACTTGCAATGTTCAAGTGGGACTCGGATGTGATAGACTTGGGATACACAGTTCAGACAATAGTTCCACAGCCCAGGAGCACATGGTACCTCATGCAAATTCTATATTAGTCCCTCAGTAGAATATTAACTGTACAAGCAACCACAGCTTCTGGATATTATCACTAGGCAAATATCATAACAACATAATTAACAATAATGGCCTCTTATGTTTTATAATGTTTGGAGGATAAACAATTAAGACTAGCATGGTGTATGCTGGGGTCTTAGGTAATAAGATTACTGGGATGGAATAAGAATTTGTGCTATAGCAACTTAAAAATTTTTTTTGAGTTACAAAGAAATAGAACAGTCTTATGTAATCATATATACATTTCCAATCAAGTGTTGGTTGATTATTTTTTAAAACAAGGAAATATGGCCAGAAGTGGTGGTACAGACCTTTAATCCTAGCACTCAGGAGGCAGAGGCCAGGTGGATCTACTAAGTTCCAGACCAGCTACACTATAAGACCCTCTCTAAAACAAAAAAACAATCAAGCAAAACAACAATTAAAACTATGACCTGGGAGATGTAAGACAAACACTTTCTCCCCTCCCCCAAAAAAACCCAACAATTAAAAACTCCCAAAACAAAACAAAATATTATACAACCAAGGAAATGAATACATCTACATCTTTGAATACCTTTTTGAAACCTAAGGACATGCCCCAACTTTCTTAACTGTATAACTTTAAAATCATCTATCCTTTAGAGTCAGTCACTATTGTGGCTGGAAACGTTACTTATTTCTAGAGCTCTTGCTTAGTATAGACAGGGTCCAGAACTCAAACCTGCAAGTCCACAAACAAAAGCCCATATCTTGCAACCAAAGACATTAAGTTTTGATTAGCATTTTTATTTTAATTTTCAAAGGTCAGGACGACTTTTTAAGAACATTTTTATATGTATGAGTGTTTTGCCTGCATGTATGTAAGTGCGCCTGTGTCATGTAATCCCCATGATAGCAAGAAACGGGTTGAGCCCCCTGGAACTGGAATTATGGACTGTTGTTAGCTGCCATGCGGATACTGGGAACCAAACCTGGGTCCTCTGGAAGAGCAGCCAGTGCTCTTAACTGCCAAGCCATCTCTGCAACCCCTGATTAGCATTTTTATATTTTAAATAATATGTAAAGATGTAACTTTTAAAATTTTGCTCCAACCTTTAATAATCACTAGAATATAACTCATATTTTAAAATATAGTAGATATTAATTTATCAATATATACAAAACTAACCTTCAACTTAGCTAAGATAAACATGCATAGAAATAAAGTTGGCCAAGAAAATGTGATCACATTTTCCTTTTTTAATTTAAAGTTTTATTTTTTGAGAGTTTCATATGCAAGTACTGTATTTATGTCAGTTCTGTCCCTCCTTCACCCCTCTCTAACTCTTCCCATTTCCCTACACACACTCTTGTGACCTCCTCTTTTAAATTATTATTGTTACATACACACACCACCACCACACATCACAGCTTACTGAATACACTTAGTATTGCTTATATGTAGATGGATCAATGTTCAAAAGAAAAAAAATATCAAGGTGGGTAAGGAAGGTGGAAAGGGAAAATTGGGGTTCTGTTAGAGTTTAAGGTTTTAGAGTGTTAAATTACGAAAGTGTGTAATTAAATAAAAAGAGCAGGAGATAGAGATGAGAGAACGAGGAAAAGGCGCAGGAATAAGAGCGGACGTGGGTGAGAGGGGGGTGAAAAGCATAGTAAGGAATGCCTCACAGTAGAGTAGGTGGAGAAGCATACGCCATGATCTAAAACTGAACCGAGTGATATGCAGTCAAAAGCAAAGCCATCATGAGACACATGTGGGAGAGTGGAGATTAAAGAACGGAAAGTAAGAGATAAAAAGAAGACTTATGAAGTGAATTTCTGGCACAGCTGCATTGAGTTGAAAGATGATGTTCTCAGATCCCTCTGGCTCCAGCAGGTTCCACTTGATGGTGGGGTATGGGGGAGGGTGGAGCTACTGATCTCTGAAGCCTGTGTTCTAAGTGGTTGTGGTGTGTATGAATAGAAAAGAAAAAAAAATCAGAGTAAGGCTATTGGTTTGTATTGCGTGGATGGAGGAAAAGTACTGGAAGGAAAAGTAAGTGGAAGGGGAAAACAACAGGCACAGGGTGGGATGGGGTGAAAAGAGAGTTTAAAAATATGCTATTAGATAACCTGAGAGTTCCAAACCCTGCCAACAGGGCCTGTGAAAATAGAGGGGGGCAAAAAGGAGGAGAGGAGAGGAGGGGAGGGGGAGGGGAGAGGGACAGAGAGAGACAGAGACAGAGAGACAGGAGGGGGAGGGAAGGGGAGGGGAGGGAATGGGGAGAGAGATGGAGGGAAGAGAGGGAGGGGAGAGAGGGAACACAGCAGGACAGAACTGCCATGCTAAATTGACACTGGGCATCAAATACAGGAGCCTGTGAGAGGAGAGAGCTGGATGCCCATACAGAGTCGGATTGCTGGTTGCAGCTTTCATTTCCTCTACAGTCCTCTGACAGAGCCCTGGATGTGGTCAGGTCACAGATGCTGGTCCTGTCAGTGGGACTTCCCTCACAGACTGTGTCACAGATGCTGGCCATATCCCGGAGTGGTTCTTCAGGGGTGGATTTCAGATGCTGTTCTCACACTAAGACAGTCCTTTCCAGGTTCATTTCTGGTCATAGATGTTGGTCCCATCAGTGGGTGGTCCTTTATGGGCTGGGTCACAGATGCTGGTCAATCTTCTGTATGGTCTTTCAGGAATTCAGTTGTGAATATTGGCCCTGTCCCTGGGCTGGCTACCCATTGAAACCTGAGTCTATGGTCCTGGCCGACTCTGTCTTCATCTGGGTTCCCACCCCACTGAATACTGCATGGTTCTGATGCAGTGTCGTTGTCATCTTGTCCCGCCCTGCCCCCTCCACATACATCTAGAGTTATTCTGTTGACCAGATTTCAGTGTATAGTCTCTTGACATTTGCTCTTGAATTTCCCAGGAAAGCTGTTCACAGAAAGAGTGGGACTGTGAAGAGGAGTCAGCAGGGTTCTTTTTAAAATGAGGCTGCTGGGACTGGAGAGATGGCAGGAGAGTGCTTAAGAGCACCTGCTGCTTTTGCAGAGGACCTGAGTACCATTCTTAGCAATTGAACATCAGAACTCACCGTGGCAATTACCATAACTCCAGTTCCGGGGGATCGCATGTGGTGCACTTACATACATGCAGGCAACACTCATACACATAAAAAATAAAAATAAATATTGTTTCTGTTTTTTGAGTCAGGGTCTCCCTATAACCCCAGCTGTCCTAAAACTCACTTATAAACCAGTCTGATCTATGGAGAGCCACTTGCCTTTGTCTCTACCACCTCCAACGGACCCTCAGTGCTGGGATTAAAGGCCTGTACCACCACACTCGACAAAAAAAAAAAAAAAAAAATGCTTTTAATTGTTACAATGAGGCCGCTTAGTGAAATGGCTCAGTGAGTAAAAGCTCTTGCTGCCAAGCCTGAAGATCTGCATTTGGTCCTCAGCACCCACATGGTGGAAGAAGAGAGCCGGCTCCCCCAAGTTGACTCTATATTTTTCTTCTTTTGCTTTTTAAAGTTCCTACTTTGTTATTAAACTAGAGATTTTTGGCTGTCACCTTTTCTGGTAACTGCTACCCAGCTTGCCTCTGTTTATTCGTTTGAGAGTCTAATCTATTGGGCCTTTGTATCACCTGCCATCTTGGATCTCAAAGATATTAACTGGCATCCAGGTATCAGCAAAAATTCCAATTTGTTCAATTTAGGG